CTAGATGACTGGAATTGCGGACCCCCCACCCCGTCCCCTTATGGTAGCGGGGATCCCGGAGATGCGATCGGCCGATTTTTCATAATGTCGACCCCATATTCATCAACATCTGTTTAAGAATGCGAAACGCGATGATTCCACGCTAAACCCAGGGACACCCCCCCCCATATTAAGAAACAGGGGGGGCGCCCAGGTTCGGGTTTCCCGGTTTCCCCTTTTCCCCGCCCCCGACAAATTATTCGAGATCTGGCGAGATGAGGCGAGCTCGCGAATGATGGGCTGTACAAGCGAAAGCCATGAAGGTCCTTGAAACTTCAATTCTTGAATCAGCATATGGATTGATGGTAAGACTTGCAGATTCGATTCAAATTCAGAGAGATGGAGAGGGTTCTGTGTGGAGCGGGGCGTAAATTCTATGTGCATGACCCGACTGAGAGGAGGGTTACTCCTTGTGGTTTGGCTATGTGGGAACCTTGAAAAAACCAGGCGTGTCTCAAAATCTGGGGACCCCTAAAATGGGTGGTTCTCCCTTTGGCCTCCCAAAAAACATCACCCCAACGGCCTCACTCAGGTCTTTGGTTGGAATGCCTTTGGCCGTAGCGGGGGCTTGAGACCTGGGCAACTGCACTGCCCAACTGGCAACCTAAGACCGAACCAAAGATAGGATGGTGACTTCGGGCCCCTCCCAAAATGGTCTGATTCTCCTGGGGGTGATGGTTACCATATATTTCAATATATTTCAATATGAAGCCGGTCCAAAACATATTGGACACCATTCGGGTTCGATCCCTATATTGCCATTTTGCCTCTGGCTGAAGATCAATGGGACCAGACTCGACCCAGAAAGTCGGACCCACCTGATATTTCCCCCATATTGGGGTTGCAGACTTGGGGAAGCCATAGGTTCACCGATTTTTTAGGTCCATATCTGGGTCCATATGACTTTCTGGGTCCAAGGCTCTTCGCTTCCGAGGCATCAGCGCGGCAGCTCGCTCCGTGTTTTTCACCATCTTCCTGCTGATCTTAGTCAGGGCCCCAGCGCCTGACGGGCCTGACGCGCCTGACGCGCCTGACGGGCCTGGGGACACAAGCGAGTCAGAAACTGGCGCGACAGGCGTGGGGCCTGGGCTCCCTGACTGGGATATGGCCAGCCGGGAACAGACAAAAAAAGAAACGGGGATGAGCTCCCTCGTTTTGTTGGTTGGAGGCCTTGGTTGAGCGGTTGTTTCAGGGGTTGGGTTAGGAATCATGCGCAATCGGAATACTTTGCTTTTCTCAGATTGGGAAAGAATCCGACTCGGGATGGATATATGTGTGTCTTTTTGTCACGGAACCTCCGAAACAATGGTTTTCCGCCACATATTTTGTTCGCCTGGATAAATGCAGGGGGTTTTCAGCTGCAGAAAACTTCAAAAACGCATCGATCGTGCTGAGGTCTTGTACATCTTTGGCATTGCCTTCAAGCAAATCTGTGATGGCCGCGGGCCGAGGGTGTTCCAAACTCCGATCCTGCGATGACAAAGCCATGGGGGTTCCAGGAAGCTCATTCTTTCTTTCTGAGCCGCACTTCCTGAGTTCATGGACTTCATCCTTTCGTCCTTTCGAAAAGACCGTTTGAGTGGCCAACAGAATGTTCAGACTTTTTCTGGCCAATCCACTCAGGACGCGAGGATCAAAGAACAAGGAAGGACACTAAGCGTTCATATCAGGTATCCCTGAAAAGGGTGGTTTGGGCGCGGTTTGGATTTGGATTCGGATGCCAAGCCCCGGTTCTTGTGAATGAGAAGCCCCGAAAAAAAGGAATCTGATCGGCATTCCTGGGAAGCCACCGAGAATCCGTTCCCTGAGGCGCCTGGGGGGTCGTTCTGCGTTGGTTGGTTGCCAAGTTAGGTGGTTAGCCACTTTGATTTTAACAGTTATAATTTCACGGTGCACTTCCTTTGTCCGCATACCAACAACTTACAGACTCGGCGAATCGAACACCGAAGTAGTGCCAACAACTTACAGACTTACTCGGCGAGTCGAACACCCAAAATGGCGGAAGGGTCTTCTCTTTGGCTAGGTCCCCCAGTAGTGGTGCCCTTGTATTCTTTCTTGGGGGAGGGCTCCCCTACCAAAATTTTTAAATAGACTACAGAAAAAAGTTGGTACCCTTATTCTAACCTCTCTACTCAAGGACGTAGTTGGGCTGCAACAAGCAGAGGCTTTGTGTCCTCCTGAGGTCTTCCCATCGGCCGGGCCTCCTTCAGCACTGTGCCAGAGTCCATGCTCACACTGCTCATCCATGGGGTGCACCTAGGCTCAGAAAAAAAAGGCGCTCGCTCCGTTTTGCGGGTGGGTGGGTGTTTTCTAGAGCTTGTACGTTATGTAGGTTTAAAGGGAAACCAGAAGTCCCTGAAAAGACCAATACCCCTAGCGCCCGGGTCCCAACCACTGCTTTTTAGGACAGACCTGGGATTGTGGACATGCTTGAAAAGCACACTACCAGCCTGGGTTATGGGTAACTCTTGTTGGTGTCCCTGGGTGGTTGCTGGAACAACCGGCTTTGCTGCCTTTCACCCTGAACACAGTGGCCAACAGCTCACGATCGAAAGCAAATCGACCTTCGGACCTATCTGTTTCCGGTTTTAGTCATGGCCTCAAAGGTGATCACCTGTTTTGTGTGGGTCCCCAAACTGGGCACTGAGGTTTTTGGGTGGCTCCGGGCATGTTGTGCTTTTCCCGGCATCTGGCCATATGGTTTCGGCCCGCGGCTTTTGGCGCAAACAGGCCAGTCTGTTGCAAACAGAACGTCTCACCTTTTTTTGCCACTTGTTCCCCTTCTTGGTGTCCAGAAAGCTTAGTGTCTGAGGCCCCAAGTAGGGCACAGATCCCTTGCCCTCTCGATGGCAGCGGGTCTGTTACCCCCCGGGTCATACCCTCATTTATCAAGAAAAATCCGTGTCGCGTGGGAAGTGCATGTTGTTTCCCTTGAATTGCCTCTTCATCCACAAGCAGGGCTTATGAGTCAGGGGCTGCAGTGGCTACGAATTGATCTGTTTCACCTCCTTGGACATCCCAAGGCCTTTCTGGGACGCCCCGGCACGATGTTCCCTACAACTGCGGCCCTCTTTCGTTTTTTCCCCCCCTTTTTCCCTTCTGTTTTTCTTATTTTTTGTCTTTTTTTTTTTCCTAGCGTGGCGTTGCACTTTCAAAGACCTGACCCTTCGCTCAGGTTTATGGATGACATGGCTGAGTTGCCTGCGGCTGAGTGGCCAAACCGCCGTTTCACATGACATGGTTTGGGCTTCGGGATGTTCCACTGCGATGCTACCACAAGACTCCTTCTACGGAGTTCTTCCCAATCCAAAGGGCAGGTTCCTGACCATTTGCATTCCAGATCTTGTTGTTGTTTATTATTTTCCCTTTTTGGTGTTGAACACTTGAAACATTGGAAGATACACCCGGCCCCTCATTGACCCAAAGGTGCGCTGCCTAAACGAGTGAGGAAAACAGCTGGTTCAACAATGCGAACAATAACCGTGGTGGAAACCTTTGTTTGTTGGTATTTACGTTCGGGAATGGAATCATTGCATTGGGTTTCTGAACGGTGCGTTGGATGGATTTCGCGTCAACGTCCGCAGTTCTGAGTTGATCACCAAGCGGTAACTCCGTCAAAGCCAAGCGGTCAACCCCTCTCCCTTATCGGGGCCCCATCAAAACTCACCCAAAAACCAACTGATTTAGAGGATCCTCCCGGCAAGTGCCACTCTTTTGATGGAGGTGAATGCTCCAGTGCCCTCTCACCATGTGTCCACAAAAAGCAACGCACTTTTGGATGCCCAACATGGCTCCAGGTTTCCTCCGGGTTTCCGAGCAAAACACGACATGCGCATTCTGCGCTCAGGGTGGCCCTTATCCGTACTGACAGCTCCGTGGCCTTTGGAACGTCGGGCGCCCAGGCGGAGAAAAAATAATAATACGAGCTTGGCACATGAAATGGGTTCGCTGTTTCGCCGGTTGTTCCAGGGGTCACTTCCAACCATGCTTTCTAGGGATCCTTCTTTCTAGAAAACCTCCAGCATCCCAGAAAAAGCGGCTGGTTTTTGAAAAGAACGATGGATGAAGCGACTTGGGAATCAACCCGTAGAGTTGTGTCTCTTCAACAGTAAGTAAGGGCTTATACTGCAACCATGTTAAGTGCTATGGGACGAGGCAAGGAGAGAAATGTTTGGCACATGTTGCCAAGATCCTTTGACATCATCATGGGAGTTGAATTCCCATGAGATTGAAATAAATCCATGGGGTTGGGCATAAGTCCCCGTGACACATGCTGTCCACTGCAGCCGATGGCACCTCAGGTTTATCATTTTCGTCCTCATCGCCTCGGCCTCGGCGTTCAGAGTGGCCATCGGTGTCGACTTTTTGGGCTGTTTTGTTTCAGTAAAATGCACCTATGCCACTGGTGTGTTTTGTTTTTGGTAGAAAGAATAGAACAACATAACGTGGCATTGGTTGTTTTGTTTTGGCGATCCCTGGTTTACCTGCTGGTTTAATCATATCATGTACCAGGGCCGTCTATTTCCCCTAAAGGGACACCTATGAACAGTGGCCTGTTCAGATCCCTTTTCGGCCCGTTTTAGTTTTTCTTATTACCTTTTGGGCCACTTTCAGCTGAGTTTGTTGTCGTGATGTTTACAGGGGAATGTGGGTCAAAATGTTCAATCGGGATATGGACCGATGTTAGTCCTTGTTTCCATTTACCAGGGCAACCCATTTTAGGTCCCGCATCCAAAGAACAACCCATTCCCATGTTAGTTGGTTTGTGTTTTTTTTCAACCTTGGTTCCATGTTTCTAGGGGTTGATTCCCCATTCTTTTCAAGCACCGTTCTTTTCAAAACCGGCTGTTTCCCCTGGGTTTTTGATGGTTGAGAAGGATCCCTGGAAAGAATGGTTGGAAGGTACCCCTAGAATGTTTGGGTCCTGCTTGATGACCCACACCCCGAAAAATGGAAGCCGAGCGGGCGATTTTTCGGGGTGAAGAGTTGCAAGGCCTCCATCACCTTGATGAATATGCTCATTGGCGCGTGGCCCCAGGAAGTTTCGTTTTGGACCTTTGGACTCGGGGGGCGAACCTGGGGAGGGGCGGGGGAAGGAACTTGGGGAGGGGGGGGCGGAACCTCAAAAAAGGGGGGGGGGGGGCGAACCTGGGGAGTGGGGCGAACCTGGGGAGGGGGGCGAACCTGGGGAGGGGGGCGGGGTTTTGTTATGAAGCCCTGAAAAAAAGGCCAAAAGGATCGGCTTATCCTTGGCTTGTAGGCTTATCCAGGGATAGGCTCTGTATAGCCCACCCTAGGGGTCCATGATGTTTGAAGAGACCTGGTTCTCAGTCGGAATCAACGGCGGGATTGGGAATCAACCGGGGGGGGGGGGTCTCCTCAAGGGAAACCACCGGGGATGGTTTACAGGGGGCATTCCATTTCTCATTCCCTGCTGAAAACCAGCAGGCTAAAGACAATTTTTGTTGCTCGCCCCTTTGCGTTCCGTGTCAGTGCACCATTGACAAAGAAGGAGGTGTGCCCTGTACGGCATTTGCGACGGACCCCCCATGTGCTTTGGATGGTTGAGGGCTTTCAAAGGTTGGGTGGTTGTCAACCCTTAGGGATTCTGGACAGTGATAAGGATTCCAACCCTCATCCACAGATTCGGAGTTTAGACCGCACTTCCGGATGATCAATGATATCAACCTATGAGAGGAATAGGTAAGCCTCGAGTTTTGTCTTTGATGTTTTGCAGAACCACCAAGATCCTCTCCGCGCATGCTTTAATCAAATGCGGTGAGTGGGAGGCAGCCGTAGCCCAAGGGTTGCCCTTGTCTCACATTCAGACATGCCCAATCTCAAAGTCACCCAATCTAGAGACCACCAACGCCCCCCCCCTTCCACCAACCCATGAACAGTCAGAGACCACTTTGCAGTCCCAAACATCATCACCATCAAAACTTACCTTGAAGAGCGAGCTCGCAAAGGACGCTTTCGGTGTCCGATGAGTTTCGCCTTCTTTCCATTTCTCAACCGTCTCAGAACAACGTCTCAGAATGGACTTTCCGATGCAACCCCTCATTTTTCTAGGGCACCCGGTGGTGCCCTTCTCTCCCCTTTTTTGGGGGAGGGTTCCCCTACTAAAATAGACTACCGAAAAAGAAAAAGAAAAAAGGCACCCGTACTCTAACCTCGCTGCTGGAGGACCTAGTCTTGTTCAATGAGTCAAACCCTCCCCTCCCCACGGGTTTAACGAAGGCCTGGTGTGAAAGTTCTTCCCGCACCTCAGGCGTGCTCTGCGAGGTGGTGTCCATGGTGGGCCAATCCGAGCGCGAGGAGCTCCTGGTGGAGTTTGTGAAGCGGGAGCTGCTGGTGCCCTCCTCAGATCCGGATGGAAACGGATGCAAATGGGTGTGGCTCCAAATTAAACAGGGGTTACGCGGGTTTTGGTCGTGTCCACTTACCAGGGTTCCATTTTTGAATTTTGGTACCGGTTTTCTGAGCCACGGATGCAAATGGAAAGCTACGGCTCCCACTGCTCTCACCAATTCACACAGGTTGCATGTGACTTTTCGGGGCATCCTGGACGGATGCAGTGGGAAAACACCAATAAAACCGCACAACTTGCGGCAGGCAGCTTGAGTGCTTAGCCTCAAAGGTAGCGGTTTGCAGGCGGCAGGCACCATTGGTTTGCCCAAACCCGGGTCCAAGGCTTCAAGTTCGTGTTGAGCTTGCCCTTTCAGGTACACATGCCCAATTTTTCACTTTGACGCAGGGGGGTCTTTTTGCCACGTGGACAAATGATGGACCCCCTTGTAGGGAAGGATTCCTTTTTGAGGGGGTCGCCAATTTTCTCACAAGAGGTGGCAAAACGATTCCCCTGCTTTGACGTTTATCCCTAAACGATACTTGGGTTGTGGAGGTCAGGCTTCAAATCCCCAAACCACTAATCTAAACCGCCAATGATAAGGGTAACCTGATTTATTGGCCCAGCAGCTCCCATCTGTTGAACAGCTCCCTTTTGGGCTGAGCGTTGACTCGCGAGTCAGGAAGTATGGTTTGTGATTTTCTCCAGATGGCATTACCTCCCAACACTGTGGCTTCCCTTTGAAGCCTTCCCCTGAAACCTAAAAACAATCGTACACACACAAAATGAACAACATTCCAACCCCTCCCAACCCCTGCTTTTTCAACCACGTCCAACATTTCAAGAATGAGAGGTGCTGGTTGTGCATTTGTTGGAAGCCCTTTAACCAACTTAGACCCTGCACCCAGTTTCCATAGGTAGGTGTCCTTTTGATCGGTTTAGTTTGCTCAACAATAGATGAGTTTGACCGGTTTAGATGTGTGTCATGCCCCAAAACCAAGGAAACCCATCTATTTTACCAAAGCCACCTGCCCTCCGACCAATTAGTATGGAACCTGACAGGGTCCCTGTCCCTTAAATAATTCGGAATTCTCTGCCCTTTTCCCCTTTGG